TTTATGATGTCAGCTTGTTTACTGTGGGTACTTGGTATACTTTGTCTTTAGAATTTCTTTCATCCTGTGCATTTCCCGACATGGTCGGTTGGTATAAACTCATCGTCACGCCTGCCTATATTTCCCCCAGAGCGTTACTCTGTCCCTAGCTTCTCACCTGTCTGCTCGAGAGCGTTTGTGATTGCTTCCGTGAGTGCTCCACACTTGTGAAAGTGGGACTAATCTTCCCACTGTTTGTTTTTCATACAATATACACATGAATTGAGGATCTATTTGTAATAAAAAATGAGAGATTTCTCATAAGTGATTTTTTCCTTTATTTTTACTCTGCAACTTTTTTGTTCCTTCCCTTTACCAGTAAGGGAAATTTTTCTTGCATTAAGGCGGCAGCTCTTCCACTCTCCTATTTCCAAACAAATGTTCTGATCAAGTTCTCTGCATCCTGCAGATCCAAAGCCACATGTGATGTCTTCTAAAGGTAAGAAATCCCCTAAATTCCCTGAAGGATAAAATCTTGCTACTGTGGACAGCAGCTTCAGCTCATGCTTGGTTCCAGTCCCTATCTGCTGATATGCTGCCCAAAGTTTTCAGACATTCAGACTTGGCAGCCCCCACACTATGTACCTGTGCTTACTCAGTTTCTCTAGCTTATCAGTCTGGCTGATATATGTGGTGTTTTTACTGCATTTTATTTTATATACATTCAAATAAACTATCTGCAAACATTGAAATTTATGTTTGGTGACTTCATTATTCAAAACAGTCTGAGAATTTTAATATCCTAAAGAATCTTAGTGGAGGAGCAGGCCATAAAATAGAAGCCTTCATATAGGAGTCTGCTGTGTGCTTTCTGGGAATACAATCAGTGTAAGCGGCACTCGGGGCGTGAGGGGCAAGGAAACAGGACTCTGTCCCTCAATTACGGCCCCATTTCCTGTTGAGTTTCAGTTCCCTCGGGAATAGTGCTTCTGAAGACGGAATCGCTGTGCTCTTGATGACACCCTGTCCTTTTTACTCGCCCCACCCTAGGTTCAGGGAGGAAACAGGAAATCGGTATGAAAAGGACTGAAAACATGTAACAAGGGCCAGGAGGACAAAGCATGAGACTGGCTAAATCTTTATGGCCCAGAAAAGAGGCAACACAGCAGGGACCATGATTACAGTCCATAAATGTCTTCAGGTAACTGTGTCAGGACCCAGGGGATTTGCCAACTGTGGGAGAAAGTGCTAAAACAAGAAAAAATTGCTTGGAATTGTGGGATGAACTGTTTAGCCAAAAAAAGGAGTTTTGAGTATATGAAGTTAGAAAACATGATGTCACACAGGACACTCATAGAGAGGGGAGGATGAACTGTCAGCATATTTAGCATCCAACAAGCCTAGTGTCAGGGATTCAAACACATTGTCACTGAAGTCCCACATTATTACAGCAAAACTGCAGGAAAAGAAAACAAAACCCAAGCTCTAGAAAGGACCTCATTTCAACCATTTGCTTAAAACAGAATGTGAATTTCTATCCACAGTGTGGGAAAGGACAGACCCTGTTATTAGTGCTCTAATAGCTATGACAGAGAGCTATGACACTGGCACTCTCTGCATGGTCCCAGCAGCAGTGGCCGGAGGCTTGCTGGAAATGAAGACTCTCGAGGGTCACCCAGATCTACATTTTATTTTTTATTTTTTTATTTTTTTGGTTTTTCTCTGGTACCTGGAACAGAACTCACGACCTTGTACTTGCCAGGCAGGCGCTTTGCTGCTGAGCTAAATCCCCAGCCCCTCAGATCTACATTTTAACAAGATCCCTCAGTGGCATACTTGAATATTAAGGTTTGAAAACCACTAGAATAAAAAAAGCTTTATATGCTTAGGAGCACCTGAATAAACTTAAAAGATATAAATTTCTTTACTAAAGAATTTTACCAAGTTGCTTTTTTGTCAAAACATTGACTCATTGTCTATAAAATGGCTCTCTAATCAATAAGGATATTAATATCAATATCTACCTTAATATGTTTAAATATCATATATTCTGTGCATTATTGCTAAAGTGAGCTGTCATTTTTTTTTTTTTTTCTTTTTGAGACAGGGTTTCGCTGTGCAGGTCAGGCTGGCCTTGAGCTCACTTTGTAGCCCAGGCTGGCCTCGAACTCGCAACAATCCTCCTCCCTCAGCCTCCCGAGTGCTGGGATTACAGGCGTGCGCCACCATGCCCGGCTTGTCATTTTTTAATTGGCTTTATTAATACCTTAGTTTTGAGTTTTACAATTATGACTGGAGACATATGGTAAGCACTGTCACAAATAGTACTTTGGCTATGAAAAATGTTGCCATTTAAATTAGATTATACCACGAATGATTTTCCTTTGCAAGGTTTTGTGGGAATTTAGTGAAACAGAGCTAGACTACATGTGTGGCCCTGCAGACAATAATGGATTATTTGATGAAAAACTCCATGGGCTGGAGATCACAACCCACAAGTCACTTCTTTCCAGCTTCATAAACTCGCTTGATAGTTCACTTTTGTGAGTGTCACTTTATTTACTTGTAATAGAGAGATAATATTTCTTCTTCAAAAGAAGCTAATGAAATGCTGTACATAAAAAAGTTTTGTAAAATATTAAGGTCATTAAACAGTTGAGAGGTCACTTGCGATCGATTGGAAGGCTGGCAATCTCTGACCACTAGCACCTGTCAGGCTCTGTTTCTGATAGTTGTTGATTTTATGGCAGAATTCTTTGGTACCCATTGTCTCAGAGATGAGAAAGACTTTCGTCAGATTGTTTAAGAAAGCTAATGTAGCCTTTGCTCTCAGGAAGCCTGACTGTTTGTCAGAAGCTCAAGAGAAGAGGACTAGGATATGAAATTTTGACACTAGGGTTTGGCTTTCCCTTTGCGAAAGGAAAGAGGAGCCTCTGCTCTCCAGGCACTCCTAAAGTCCAGGCACTTGCTGCTAGCAAGTGTATGTTTTTAGGAAGTGGAGAGCCAGAAACATCTATGTTATAAACATGTCTGAATTCTAAAACTCAAGGTGCAGCCTAATACTTCAAATGTATCTTGTATTTGTGCCACAAGAGTGTCTTCATAATATTGTTGCCATTTAATAACAGATTCAACATAAAATTATGAAACTCTCATTTCTAAAAACTCAAATGACCTGCAACCCTAAATCTAGTTGCCAACAGACAATAAATATTCCACTCTAGCTGAACATGGGAACCTTGGTGCTCAAAAACCATCACATCCTGTGCCAAGCTCCATTCCGTTATTTATTTTACAACCATTTGTCTTTAACCAGCCTTCCTCCTTCTTTGCCTTCCACGTTTTGCCTTATGATGATTCTAAGTGATAGTGAAGCATCAGTGGGAGGTCAGAGCACCTGCCCAGTGGGCCTGTCTTGTTGGTTGAAATTCAGGTGCTCCAGGGGGCAATCCAGGAGACTGAGCCCCTGTGCCTCAAGGACTGGCTGCTCAGGTATGAAGGGGCCCTGAGCTCTGCTTGGACTTACTTTGTCTCTGAGGGGCCAAGGTACTTCTATTGCCTGGATGTATGTAGACACCCTCGGGAATATTTCAAGCACTAAAAGTATTCCTTGCATATGTATTCCTTTCACTGAGCCTGTCTTCGCCCAGGCAGACTAACTGTTCTCTGAGGCTGACTACTACTGGTTCATAACTAACACTAGTTAGGAAGACTAGAAAAAGATACGTCTGAGGCAAAGGGGGTGATGAGTTAGGAGAGAAGCACGTGTGGGTAAGTGTTGCCCTGCAAGTGAAGGTGATTTTCCCAAAACATCATGTCTCTTTTGCCATCAGTATTGCCATAGTCGTTGGGATTATATTCCAGTACTGAACATCATAATGGTTTGAATTTAGCACTAATTCAAGATGACTTCTGATTTGATTATTCATGTACTTTGATTTCTTCTGCTCTCCCCTGTAAAATATAAACATATACCCATTTTTTTCATTGGCAAACAATTTTATAATAAAAATAAATTTTGTGGTAAAACATTAACATAAAAACAGATTAATATGGAGTCAGTCTTATAGATCTAGTAAAAAATTTGCTTGAGTTGGGGTAATCATCTGTTCCCCCAAATTTAATAAATGTTGTTGGAGTGAAGATAATTGTATGGGGATGTATTCTTAATTTAATTAATTAAAGTCTATGAGATGTTATCAGAGTTGACAACAACAATTCAAATTTGTTCCAGTTGCTAAACCTGAAGGGGGCACATGGCTTAATGTGGCTCTCTGGGCCCACACCAAAGGGCTCATGAGGACTGAATTCAGGATTAGCCGCTGGCTCTGTGGATGTACACAGGAGCTGATGGGATGTGACGGGGACCTGAGATTTGTGCCAGCTACTACAGCACCAGTTGCCTTATTACTGTTAGCAAAGTCTCAATGAGTAGACTTGACTCGTTCTAAATTAATGGAAAAACTACCAGTAGCTTGTGAGTGTGCCCCAGTGTGCTTCACCCTATTCACCAAGGTCACACAAATCCTTTTCTGTAAGACCTATCAATATAGTTAAAGGAACCAGAAAAATGTAATATCCCCTCGGCCTTTTACCCCTTTCCCTTGCTTCTACTGTCTGTGAAAGCAATTTTCACATGCTTAACAGGCACAGTGGTTAACACATGGCTAATATTTGATAAATATATGATGGATGGATAGACGGATGGATGTGTATGTAACTCCATGCTAAGGAAATACAGATGGGAAAAATTTTATTTATTAAATAACCAGACCCAAAGTGATTGATAATGTCATTGACAATTAACCCTTTACCAAAAGACTCAAACTGGTTGTCCCAGACCACAACCCCACTCAGCCTTGTGCAGAATGATCTGTTCTCAGTCCCTTTAGCCCTTACCTTGGAGTGTCAGCACCATCTTCCTCATTCCTGATGATCTTGTGAATTCAGAGAGGAAAACAACCTGCAATTCTGAAAACATGGGGTTCTCAAGATTACAATCAACGTGAATCTAATAGTCAGCATTTCTGTAAAGGTACACAAAGGGAAATACTATGTTATCTTCCTATTAAGTATGCCAGATATTTACTCCATGATCATTTTAATTTCATATTCTAAGTGTGGCATTAAATTCTTTACCTGATCTGCCCCCCTTGTCCTGAGAAAGGCATCCTATCTTCTTTTGCTGGTATTTGGATATAGATGGACTTTTTGAATAGACAGTAGCATGAAATCTTTTCCCAGATGTGGTTTTATACAAACAAAATCTTTCACAGGTAAGAATCACAGTGATACATAGGCATTAGAATACTCACTGTGGCTATTATAACCAAGATCCAAAAGAAACCAACAAATCTGTTCCCATCCACATAGCCTTACAGTTAAAGCAAAGTCCCCATGAACCATTGAAATTCAGGGCTTTTGTGTTCCAGAATCCACATGGTTAACTCAAACTCCTTTAGCACTTTTTTTTAACATGGTTTAGAACCTTGTGTTTTATAGAACACTGTTTTTCCTCCTCACATTTTCCTCTTAATTCTGTATGTTAGATTCACAAAATATATTCAACTTTTAAGTATAACATTGATATAGAAATAGGCTTTTTGCTTCATCTTCAAAATAAACATATGTTAATTACTCTGATGCAAAAGCTGGCAAAATTAGATTATATAAGAATATAATCTGTCCAGTTTAATAAAACAGGACAGAAAAACAGTCAACATGGTGGCACCATTAGACTGATTGCTTTCTGTAGATATACAGAATATATGAATAATAATTTTTCTCTTCATAACTCTTGCTGACTTGAAGGCACAATCAAATAGCGTATTTCTGATTCATCTCAGGCCCTGTCCACGAGCCACATGTGCAGAGTTCTGATAAGGTAAAGAAAGATGTGTTTCCATGTCAACAATTTATAGGCTGGAACTATTTTGAGTTGTTAATACAAACTTTGATATTTGCTCATTGAATGTGATGATTTTGCAAAGAACAAATTTTAACACAATTACAATGACTGCTGAAATGTATTAAATCTCTAGGGAAGTTGGGAAATGTATACAGGGCAGGGTTGTCAATCATCTCATGCTCTGATGGGTGACATCAGCATGTGATTTTTGTTAACTAGAGAAAATGACAGCATAATCTTTCATAATGGCCTCAAACTAAAATGTTCTGTCACTTTTTATGGGTTCCTTCTGTCCCTCTGTGTCTCTACAGAATGATAAAAAGAAAATGCAAAAAAAAAAAAAAAGAGAAAGAAAAGCCCAGAGGTTATATCTTGAGGCATCATATGATTTTATCAGTTCATTAATACTCAGAAAATTATAATATCATTATCATAACTACAGGGGACAATAATTTGAGTGCCATAAAGACTCCAGTCCCTGGGCGTTACACCAATCAATTCTTCTATTTTCTTTCTCTGGGACTCCCTTGATGAGACAAAATTAAAATTATTTCATGTGAACATGTAACCTCAAGAAGAAACAAAAAACCAAGAGAGAGTTTGCCAGTGACATAACCTGGTCTCAACGTGCTGGGTTCATAGAGCTCACGATGTAGTAGGAAAGATGTGATGGTCCATGAAAGAAAGAGATGGAGTTTGACTAAGAGTAGAGAAGAATTAAAAGTCAAGGTTGACCTGGCAGGTGGAAGGCAGCAAGTGTGAACAAGAACATAAAACACTGCTAGAAAAACTCAACTTTGAGACTGTCTACCTCCCAACTATTCAAGCATTCTTAGGTCAATCTTCCCAAAATATCAAGGAACATGACAAGAGCTGGCCACTGGCAAATGCCTATCATCTCTGGCCTGGAGCAGCAAGAGTTGCCATCTGAGGACTTTGCTTCTTCTTTCCTGAAGTTGCTCTCGGAGACTGTTAGTGTCGGGACTACCAGGCAAGGAGACTAAGCGGGTCTGTTCCTGAGCATCTCCAGACTCCTCTGATGGGGGACTTTGGCCTCAAGACTAAAACTCTCTTGGAATTGCATGTTGACCTTCACTCTTCAGCCCAGTCTCTCTGCCTTCTCTCTCTCCTTCAAGTCAGCCCCTTATCCTACTCCAATGGCTCCCCAGCCTCTCTCACAAACATTCCTCTTAGAAAAGTTCAGGCCAACTTAATCTTACTTTGGCTTCTGCTACTCCAAGAACTCAGACTCACTTACCCCTCAAGCATATTCTATATTCCCAATGAAAATTTGGGGGCCAGGGATTAGTATCCGTTGGACATCTATTCTAGTCCAGGTATTTCATGCATTCCTATACCTAACTGCATCCCCACATCAACTCCACTCAGTAGCATCATCCTGTATTTAACAGTTAGAAAGCTATACTCAAAAGGTTTACAAATTTTATAAAACCACATGAAACTACCATTTTGTAGGGCAAAGGGTTAACATATATTTTGCCATGATCGTATATCTAAGTAAACAAACTAAACTTCCAGCCATTTCCTTGTGCTTCCAAAGCACATATTCTTGTCATGCTTCAGAATACTCCAGGATACATGGTACAAAGAGAACACAGGCACACACACCTAAGCTGCGGGTTATCTGTGCTGTATGTGACAATGTCACAAGCTTCTCAGAACATCAAAAATCTTAGGGAAAGAATAGTAATTTTCAAGAATTATTCTCATTCTCAGTATTTCCTCAGTGTTCAAGACAGTGAAGATTATAAAATAGCATGAGTAACATATATATGTGTGCATGTGTATACACACATGCATAGGAAAAACATCTATAGTTTGTTTTCCATGTTGAGTGTATTACTTGTATCATTTATAACATCATTAAAATAAAACATGAAACTCTATTGTTAGCAAATTCTTTTCTAAATGAATCTATGACCTCAATGCCATTAGGTATACCCTCCTGTCAGCAAGTGGACAGTCTTTAATGAAGAAAACATATCCCTGGAAAACATGCTCCTCCAACTCCTTCAGACTCTAGGTACTGCAGGCTGTTTGGATTTGCTCTGAGGACTTTGTCCCTGTGGCACAGCACCGGTGTAACACCATGAAAACAGGTGAGAGGAATGCGTATGACCCACCCATAAAAAGCTCAGAGAATGCAGGCATCTTCCTTGGGCCACGGGAAATGTGAGCACACAAAGGCTTTGATGGGTTCCTCTAGGAAGTTCTGATTATGTGATGCACCTAACTGAATCTACTCATTATTCATGGACAAATTTGAGAGAGAAAACTCAAGCTTCACTAACAGCTGTTTGTTAATATGAGATTATGAGAGACTTTTTTTGGGATAACATGCAACCAATAGAGGAACACAGGATAAATATTGAACAAAGTAAAGCCTAAACCAATACTGTGCTTTTGTTAATAAATCTTGCCATTCAGAAAACCCAGATTCTATTCATTGCTGTAAGCATTATTAATAACATCAAAAAGAGATAATAATCTCCTTATCCTCACCTTGAAATTTAATTGAAGAACACTTAAGAGTTAGGATCAATTATTCTAGAGAAAGGAAAAGACATTTTCAACAAAAATAAAAATCATTTGTCACTTCCTCCTCTATTTCTGTAATGCTTATATACTCTGATAATACAACATATTTGATTATAGAACTGGATCTTTTTCTCTTATGCCAGTAAACTTGGGGTGTTATTTGATGGCACACCCCAAAATTAGACTGTTCAAATAACCATCCTGCTCCCTATCTGAATGTATGACACTTAGTCAACACTTGATAAACATGTTAAAAAGAAAACAACTGGATAAATTTGTAATAAAGCATCATGCCTTATAAAGGACTGTTCCCAAAGTTTTTATTAGTATCTATGGGAAATGATCCAGACAGGTAGAAATAGTAAAGTATCTGTGGAATTCAGTTCAGCTCCCAACGTGCTTATGGCAACAGTTTATCATTCTTTTACTCTCCCCGTTGCTTAAGGAAAGCATTTGGTTTCTCCAATGTTCGAAGAACAAAAATTGATATCAATAAACTGATACATTTCTAGATGCAACATATATTTGCCCTAAAGCTTCTTCCTTTTGGGTTTTTAATGTCTTTCTAAAATTCATTAATCAAGTAATACATTTTCACTTTATATCACTATGTCTATTGAGTATATTTCTGTGCTGGAAAATTTATAAGCCTTATATCTGAGAAGCCTCTTAATAACCCTCTAAAACGTGAACCATCACAGTCTCATTTTAAAGATAAGAAAACTGAGACATGGAACTGTGATACTGACATGGTAACAAAGGGAATGACACTGTCCTCAGGGTTCAGCCCCGGAGTCAGGCTCCAAGTGTCCCTAAGTGAATGCATTTGGCAATCAGCTGTACAGAACTTTCCTTTGGCTTTTCCTTGCTGTCCAGAGGGTCTATGGTGAACATACATAACAACCACCTTAAAGCAAAGCAAACAGATACTGTAGTATTTCTAAAATCTCCCCCTAACTGCTGGTTTCTATAGGAGATTAAAAAGTAATGAGTTTTAGTTATTAGCCTTTTTATTCAAGAACTGGCTGCAGTCTATGACTTCTCCAGGTGCTCTCTATTCCACTCCAATTTCTTCCTTAGAGCATTTATCTTTTCTTGCTTATTTCCAATGTGTTAAAAAAAGAAAGGGGCCCATATGGGCCATGCCATTGTTTTAGGCTGGGCATAAAAGGGAAAGGAGAAGCCGCCCACTGTGGAGGTAAGGGATGAAAAACAGTCTAGGACATAACCTCACGTTGGTAAGGGAAAGCTAACTGCTAAAACAAATGAACTCAACTTGGCACGAAAGCAGCGCGTCTGTCTCAGACATCAAATGTCAGGACAAGGAGGCCCCAGGGAGTAAACGTCTTGCTTTATCCTCTTCCAGAGATGAAAAGATGGATTTGGCACCACGAGGTAAATATTCCAAAGCCATCTATGGAATGGACGTCCAGTTAACAGACCAGGGGAGGGATACAGACACAGCTGCTTCTTCACTTCTTTATCTGTCAACTGACTGACATCA